GAATCGCCCAAACCCAGGAGGAGGAGGGGGGGGTGAGCCGGGACCGCGCCTTTGCCCCCCAGCCTGGGAAACATGCGGCAAACTCCACCAAAAAAAAAAAAAAAAAAAAAAAAAAAGAATGTTCTGCTATAGGCTGGGTGTTGTGGCTCATGCCTGTAAACCCAGGACTTTGGGAGGCCAAGGCAGGCAGATCATGAGGTCAGGAGTTTGAGACCAGTCTGGCCAACACAGTGAAATCCCATCTCTACTAAAAAGACAAACATTAGCTGGCCATGGTGGCGCATGCCTGTAGTCCCCACTAATTGGGAGGCTGAAGCAGGAGAATCGCTTGAATCCGGGAGATTGAGGTTGCAGTGAGCTGAGATCATGCCACCGCACCCTAGCTTGGGCAACAGAATGAGACTCCATCTCCAAAAAAAAAAAAATGTTCTGCTCTGCCAGAACAGTAAAAACGATTAGTTTTATGACATCTTGACATCTGAATATAAATCTCTTTAATATTTTGTGCAATGACATGAGTGGGATGCATAAATATCTCTGCTGGGTAACAAGGTCAGATGATGTCTCAGGGAAAAGCACACACATAGCAATGCCTCCTGGGGGATACGCTCCAAGACTCCCAGTAGATACCTGAAACCTCTGACAGTACGGAGCCCTAGATACACTATGTTTTTTTCCTATACATATATATCTATGATAAAGTTTAATTTATAAACTAGGCACAGTAAGAGATGAACAACAATAACAGATTAATTAGAATGATATACGGTAATAAAAGCTATGCAAATGTGATCTCACTCTCAAAATAGCTTACTACATGAAATATTTTCAGGCTGCAGCTGACCCTCAGGTTACTGAAGCCACAGAAAAGGGTGGACCACTGTTTGTGATTATTTGAGTTATTAGTTGAACTAGCAGTTTTCTTCATGAAACACTTTTTTTTTTTTTTTTTTTTTTTTTTTTTTTTTTTTGAGACGGAGACTCATTCTGTTGCCCAGGCTGGAGGGCAATGGTGTGGTCTCGCTTCACTGCAACCTCTGCCTCCCAGGTTCAAGAGATTCTCCTGCCTCAGTCTCCCAAGTAGTAGGGATTACAGGTGCCTGCCACCATACCCGGCTAATTTTTTTTTATTTTTAGTAGAGACAAGGTTTCACCATGTTGTCCAGGCTGATCTTGAACTTCTGATCTCGTGATCTGCCCACCTCGGTCTCCCAAAGTGCTAGGATTATAGGTGTGAGCCACTGCAACTGGCCTTGAAACACCATTTTTATTTGAAAGAATGAAACTAGTTAACTGGACTTGGGTATTTGTTAGACATTTTCTCAAGACTAAAGCCTGTCACTTCAAAGAAAGCTCTGATAGCACATATTGAAAATGATAAAGTTCAAGCTTTCAAATAAAAATTATTAGAAACACATTATCTTGAAAAATGTGTTGTTCCTTATTGTGGGCTTGCTAAAAGGTTTCCAACATTTAATTATTTTCTCATGAGATCAGTGACATCATTAATAAATACCACTTCTTTGATACCACAGAATAAAAGGGGCCAGGCACATTGGTTTACACCTGTAATTCCAGCACTTTGAGAGGCTGAAGTGGGCAGATAATGAGGTCAGGAATTTGAGACCAGCCTGACCAATATGGTGAAACCCCATCTCTACTAAAAAAAAATACAAAAATTAGCTGGGCATTGTGGCACCCGCCTGTAGTCCCAGATGCTCGGGAGGCTGAGGAAAAAGAATTGCTTGAACTCAGGCGGTGGAGACTGCAGTGTGCCGAGATCACACCACTGCACTCCGGTCTGGGCAACAGAGCAAGACTCCACCTCAGCAAAAAAAAAAAAAAAAAAAGATCTGTATAACTCAGTAAATCATCAATTTTCAAATCACCAGTGCCTGATGATATAAAATCATACATGAGTAAAAGATCCATTCAAAGGGCAAGACAGACCAGTGGATTTTAGAGAAGCAGAATACAAAGTTCACTGGTAAGGCCTCATATTCTATGATATAACTAACCTTTCAAGGATACTATCACTTGTTGAGTTTTGATGAAGTATAAAAGAAGAATACACCTGGGCGCGGTGGCTCACGACTGTAATCCCAGCACTTTGGGAGGCTAAGGCAAGCGGATCATGAGGTCAAGAGATCAAGACCATCCTGGCCAACATGGTGAGACCCCGTCTCTACTAAAAAATATACAAAAATTAGCTGGGCGTGGTGGCATGTGCCTATAGTCCCAGCTACTCGGGAGGCTGAGGCAGGAGAATTGCTTGAACCCAGGAGGTAGAAGTTGCAGTGAGCTGAGATTGAGCCACTGCACTCCAGCCTGGCACCTGGCGACACAGCAAGACTCTCTCTCAGGAAAAAAAAAAAAAGAAGAAGAAGAAGAATACATACAATTACCTGAATGCAAAAGCAATTATGAGTATCTTGCCATATCCTATTAAGCCCGACATTAAAGAGACTTGTAAAGTGGTGACACAGTGCCATTCTCTGCATTAACACTTTTTTTGGAAATACTTATTTTTTCTTTTCTTTCTTCCTTTTTTTTTTTTTTTAAAGACAGGGTTTCATCATGTTGGTCAGGCTTGTCTTGAACTCTCAACCTCAGGTGATTTGCCTGCCTTGGCCTCCAAAGTGCTTGGATGACAGGTGTGAGCCACCACGCCTGGCCTAATTTTTTTTTTTTTTTTTTAATGAATGAGAGGTTCTTATGTTGCCCAGGTTGCTTGGCCTCAAACGCATAGCCTCGGCTCCTCAAGCGCCAGGACAACTGGCATGAGCCACCGCGGCCCCAGAAATACTTATTTTTTCTAAAAATGTTATTTATGTTAATATGTAATAGGTTTGCTTGTTTAAGACAAGGTCTCAGTCTGTCACCCAGGCTAGAGTGCAGTGGCTTGATTACAACTCACTGCAACCTCTACCTCCCAGACTCAAGAGATCCTCCCACCTCAGCCTCTCAAGGAGCTGGGACTTCAGGCATGCACCATCAAACCCGGCTAATTTTTGTATTTTTTATAGAGACGGAGTTTTACCATGTTGCCCAGGTTGGCCTCGAACCTCTGGGCTCAAGCAATCTGCCCAGCTCAGCCTCCCAAAGTGTTGGGATTATAGGTATGAGTAGCTAGCCAGGTTTGTTATTTTAAAATAAATAACTAAAAATGTCTCAGTTTTAACTTATAAGATAGTAAATATCAATACAAACTGAACAAAAATTCTGAGATCTTCAATTTTTAATTGTGTAAAGAAACCAAAAGGTTTTGAGAACTACTGAAAAAATTAAAAGATCTTAAAAAACCAAAGTAGAAGGGAGAATGCCATCTAGTGGAGGAGACAATTATGACAGTAATCTAACTGTTAAAATAAATGACACATCTAACAAAGATCAACACTTGTTAACATATTCCATTGTCAGACACTTCATATACTCTGGGCCCGCTGGCTCACACCTGTAATCCCAGGACTTTGGGAGGCCAAGGCCAGCAGACTGCTTGAGTCCAGGAGTTTAAGACAAGTCGGGCAACATGGCAAAACCCTTTCTCTACAAAAAAACTTTTAAAAATGCCAGGTGTAGTGGCACATACCTGTAGTCCCAGCTGTTTGGGAGGCTGAGGTGGGAGGATTAATTGAACCTGGGAGGTTGAGGCTGCAGTAAGCTATGATTGCATCACTGCACTCCAGCCTCGGCCACAGAGTGAGACCTTGTCTCTTAAAAAAGAAAAAAAAAAAAAAAAAAGAAACTTCATATGCTTAAAGCAGAATGTTCAAAATTAAGGGTTTCAAATATAAAAAATATTGTTACATATCAATTAAAAAAAGTGTAGAACGGGCGTGGTGGCTTATGCCTGTAATCTCAGCACTTTGGGAGGCTGAAGTGAGCAGACCACTTGAGGCCATGAGTTTGAGACCAACCTGGCCAACATGGTAAAACTGTCTGTATTAAAAATACAAAAAATTAGCTAGGCATGGTGGCTGGCATTTGTAATCCCAGCTACTCAGGAGGTTGAGGCAGGAGAATCACTTGAACCCAGGACGCGGAGGTTGCAGTGAGCGGAGATAGCACCAGTGCACTCCAGCCTGAGTGACAGAGCAAGCCTCTGTCTCAATAAGATAATAAAAACAAAATGTAAATGTGCCAGAAAGTTCTGGATTTGGGATACATGCTGCTGTGTGGAAGGCAGTCTGAGGCCAGCACAAGCAGGAGGATGCCAGGGCCATGACTAAGACAAGAGTATCACAGAAGATTCATGCTGGGGATCATTTCTAGTCCTTGGACATGCCATGAGAACTATTCAAGGCCTGGCAGCCATTGGGGATTGGGGAACACTTAAGTTGGCTCTGTCTAAATCTTCCTCCATCACTCTCCAAAAGAATTAAATCATGTTCTTTGAGGGTTGGATTTTGTGTTCTGATTTCTGAAGGCTCTTCAACAGGAACAGAAATTATTCCATGAAAGACTTTTCATTCCACAATAAGACTTGAAATACACATGACTTGACATCCGTCAAGGAGCAGGCAGAAATGACAGGGCTGTCCAGCTCTGATGTGGATCAAGAAAGGGGAGCCTGAGCACAAAAGCACTTCAACAATCTTTCCAGCTTCACCTTTTTTGGGTCCTCGACCCTGTTCTTTAGTGACTGCTAGCAGACAGCAGTAAAGTCTGTTTTGTTTTTCATGTGGCCCTCACCCTCACTCACAAAGCCATGTCATTCTCCAAGGATTTGCTGCCTGATCACAGTATTTTAGAAGGGGTGGCTGTTTAGTGTATGTACCCTGCCCTTCAGCCAACTTCCCCAGGAGGCCTTCCAGCCTTAAGCAAAGGCTGCAACTATACCCGGAAAGACTCTGGGATCCACATCCTCCCTTCCCCACACAACTGAAACCCAAACACTTAACAGCTACTCTAGGCTTGTTTTATATGCAGGCTCTAAGTCTTATATACCCTAAACACTAGGACAGATAAGAATACTATCACTACTGAGTGTTTTCATTCTGAAGCCCAAGCAGAGTTGTGACTGACTTTGAACTATGGGGCCACAGGTCTGCCCCATACCATCTTACCAGTTCTTAGGCCTGGGTTTCAGGTTTTTCTCTCAGCATGGAAAGTAGGTTGCATTTACAGTTTTTACGGGTTCTTTTTTTTTTTTTCCTGCTTGCTGGTGACAAAACTTACTTTCTTGGTAAAACACATTCTTATCTTTCTCACTCACAACCTTCCATGATTTATTTTAGCAGCTACACACAGTCTATCCAATCACAGAATCAGCTCAAATATGGAAAAGCTCACACTGTATTTTCAAATATATTACTCTTTTAGATTATAATTGGGCATAAATTTCCTAAATTTTACTAGGTCATCTTGAAAGTTATAACTGGTTTCAAAAGCAGTTTCTTTGCTTTTTTTTTTTTTTATTTTTTGAGACAGACTCTCATTATGTCGCCCAGGTTGGAGTGCACTGGCAGATCTTGGCTCACTGCAACCTCCGCCTCCTGGGTTCAAGCAATTCTCCTGCCTCAGCCTCCCGAGTAGCTGGGATTACAGGCGTGCAACACCCATCAGCTAATTTTTGTATTTTTAGTAGAGACGGGGTTTTACCATATTGGCCAGGCTGGTCTGAACTCCTGACCTCAAGTGATCCACCCGCCTCGGCCACCCAAATTGCTGGGATTATAGGCATTAGCCACTGTGCCCGGCCTCAAAGCAATTTTTTTTTTTCCTCAAAGCAGTTTTTAAATGCAAAATGTGGTCCTTATTCTCCAGGTCTAGAGTGATAGAATTAAGTCTTCTTCTTTGGAGAGTAGGAGTTTGTCTCATAAAGGATGACTCTTCAACAAGTAATTTCTAATGCCCGATGCACAGCATAGCAGTTTAACCAACACAAGGGTGTCTTGTTGTGAAGGGTAACCTTCACAACAGATCATTAAGGAGTGTGATAGGAATTGCTGCAAATTACCCTCAGCTGCTACTAGAATGGAACTATGAGAATAGTTATGCTGTTCCAAAAAAGATCATTCTACACAGCTTGCCCAAAAGTAGATGAGCACACCCTCCAGGAAAATGAGAATTAGACCCACCAACCCCAAGAGCTGGGAGAGGCCTCATTTTGGTCTGACCTTCTTATAGCCTTTTGTTCACTTCTAGATGACTAAAGAGAATCCAAAGCACACGAGGCGGCCCTTACAGCTTCCTGAGTCTAGAAACAGACCAAAAAACCTGCATGGCGGTGACACCATAAAGCCCCATCTGGGATGCAGAATGCAAGTGGGCTGTTGGACTCAGCCAGGCCTCTCGCCTTTCTTGTCGGGAAATACGGCACAATCTGAAAGGCTGGAAATCCAGTCTGTCTCGGGATTTGTTCATTCCTGAGTGGTCTTCAGGTTCTTTCTTTATAAAGCTTATTTTATCCCAGAAAATGTCCATGCAGTCGCACAGTTTGCCAGTGGGACAGATCTTGACCAGACATACGAACTGAGCCATAATGTTCAAACACCTTGTTTGCATCCAGCCACCCACCACAGCCAACACCAAATACCTTTGGGTCATCAGCCTCAGGTTTTTCAGTCTCTGAATCGTCATCTTCCTACAAGACAAAGAATTTAGAGGATTAAGCTTAAAGGAGCGGGCCTGAGGAGTCTCACATGCATAACTAGGGGCTGGAGCAAACAGCCCATGTACCCAGCTGGGGTCATCCCACCGAGAATCCCTCCCCTACCATATAAGTCAGAACCAGAGAAAGATAAGGGGAAAAAGAGATATTCTGGGGGCGGGGACAAAAAAGCATCAGCAGCTCAAAGTCAGGTTACTCTAATGGTGAGACAGCCCACATCAATGAAAATGCCCCAATTAAAAATCACAGACATAAAAGTGTGCTTCAGGAAAGAGTAAGGTCAGGCCACACAATAAAACAGGCAGTGTGTTTCCACTCAAATATCAGTTACTTCAAACCAGGATTATGAGCCTTCTTTGCTTTTCATATACATATGTACATCAGACTCAGACCTACCGTAACACTGTTGTTCAACACCAAGTGCCAAGACGTACACACAGCTATTATCACAGCACCTCAACCAGCATTTGCACTTACTAACATCAACACAGGAAGGTAGGCATCATGACCAGAGCAAGTGACTTGGGAAAGGCAGGACTAAACGGCAATGCCCAACCTTTCAGAGTCCCAGTTGAGTCGGTTCTGCCTCTACCCAAGTGCTCACAGAACTGCCAATGACCCATTCTACCCAGTTCTGTTCCTTATCCAAATGAGGTCAGCCTGACACAAAGGATCACACATGGTAAGGCACTCTCCAAAGTGAGCCCACCATTCCACTGAACACTAATGTTGATGCTATGAAGGTCAAAGATCAGGAGCAGATGCTGGATCGGCTACCTTATTAGCTGGCGAAATCCATGTCACCTCCACTACCCAGAACATTCCCAATGCACAGAAGCCTTTAACTGAATACCCAGCAAAAAATGATTTAATTTGAAACTGTTATTTTCAACGAAGCTACACTTCAGCCCAAACATTACAGAGCACTCCACATATTAATATAAATACCACTCGAGAGACTTGAACAAACTAGACTGATGATTTGGAGACTTAACTGTCCTGTAAGGTGCCAGTGAGTCCAAGGCTTTAAATGCAATTTCCATAATCATCTTAAAATGAAATCAGTCATGCCAAATAAACAGAGATGGAGCTCAGACAAATACAATCACATTTCAGAATGTCTACAGTAAGATCTGACAAGAGGACTTTACTAAAACATGAAATGAAGCTTTAACACGATGAAAATTCATTCTAAGCAATGCAAATACGAAACAACACTTTAAAAACACATTATGCAAATGTACTAAAGAAAAGAGTTATGGATGTTAAGCCAGAATGTGGGTACTTCAGAAAAGTCAGAAGAGAAAACAACTTGCAAAACTTTTCTGAATAATTTCAGTCAGCTCTGAATTACCAGTATTAATGGACGGGGCTAAAGGCATGAAAATATCTCCCAAAATGCATAATGTACAAAGCGCATTTGTTTGTTGTGGAAAGAATTTAATGCTAACATTTACATACCAACATGTAACACAAATTTCAAACAAATAATATATTGTGAGTGTTTCAATTAAAACTCTTGCTAAGAAGTCAGATTCGACATCCAGACACAACTCTGCATGTCTTGTGTTATGCACCAGCCTCAATTTAAATTCCGGCTCATGTTGCTCAGGTGATTATGTATCCAAAGCCTTTCTTGTTAATAATTGCACAGGTTCTCCTTCGCCAGCACCTACTAAACTTCAGGCAAGATTTGTGATCAAGAACTAAGGGCACCATGATAAAAAGTGCCAAGTAAAATGTCAAAAAAGAAGTTAAGAAGGCCAGGCATGGTGGCTCATGCCTGTAATCCCAGCACTTTGGGAGGGTGAGGCAGGGGAATCGCTTGAGGCCAGAAGTTTGAGACCAGACTGGGAAACAGTGAAACCCCACCTCCCACAAAAAATTTTTTAAAATATTAAAAACTTCGCCGGGCATGGTGGCTCATGCCTGTAATCCCAACACTTTGGAAGGCTAAGGCCGGTGGATCACCTGAGGTCAGGAGTTCAAGACCAGCCTGGCCAACAAGGTGAAATTCTGTCTCTACTAAAAATACAAAAATTAGCTGGGGATGGTGGCAGGTGCCTGTAATCCCAGCCACTCAGGAGGCTGAGGCAGGAGAATCACTTGAACCTGGGAGGCGGAGGTCGCAGTGAGCCAAGATCACGCCACTGCATTCCATCCCGGGTGACAGAGCAAGACTCGGACTCATTAAAAAAAAAAAAAAAATTAGCTAGGCATGGTGGCTCCCACCTGTAGTCCCAGCTACTGGGGAGGCTGAGGTGGGAGGATCACTTGAGCCCAGGAGTTCAAGGCCTTAGTGAACTATCGATGATCACACCACTGCACTCCAATTTGGGCAGCAGAGTGAGACCCTGTCTCAAAAGAGTGGAAGAAACAGGTGAAAACTAATTTTCCTTGCTAATCTTGAATAAACTGACAAGATTTGAATGATCCTAACCAAGATTAAAAATAATGCAGAGTTGATTGTAGATATAAATAATAAACCAATTAGGATGAATACCTGCTATAAATGGAGTAAATCATTTAAATAGGAAAAAATCAACAGAAAATACCAATTGATATCTGGGTTAAATAAAATAATCCACTATCTTTTCCCCCAAATTTCAATTCAAAGATTAATAAAAAATGATCCATGTGAAAATAAATTTTCAAACAGAACTACTGATATCCAACCCAGTTTTTTCCACTAACACCAAACAAAAGAGGGGAGAAGGGGATGAAGCTAGCCATGAAATGGAACACTGTTGGCACAGTTCCAAAATCTGACAAATGAAATTGTGCTTTCAGTAGCTCTGAATTTGAGAGATTTACCTACCGACTGTCTACTGTTCTCATCCTCTTCTTCTTCATAACCATCTTCATCACCACCTAGACGAGAAAAGTCATCCTCCCCATAGGCATCAGATACCAATCCGCCTTTCTCTTCTGAAAAGTTAAAAATAAATAAAGAAAAAAAAATCAAGAGTTACAATGTAAGAAAAATGTCCAGAGATTTGAGTGGTCAGGACTATCTCTGAAGATACAAGGGGAACCTAAATTTCATGTTAAGTGACCATAGGCCCAGATTTGGCTCTTAAGAAGACCATCATTTAGTGAATAAAATCATTAAAAGGGCAGGGAACAAAACCAAGTACTAAATTCAGTTTCTAATGCGACAAACGCGAGATAAACACTATAACGTTTATGGGAAACCACCGGAGAACTTTCTGACTGGAAGAGACCACACAAACCCAGAAAACATTAAAGTACCTAACCTAATCCAATCCCCTTCGCTTTCCAGATGAGGAAGCTAAGGTCCAGATGCGTTAGGTAACTTGTTCTCTATTCTACCAAAGAAATCTATTTCCAGTGTGAAACAAACATTGTGCTTCTCAACTTGAGGAGTACATCACCGATAGGTTTTAAAAACTCAGAAAATTGAAGAAAAAATCACCCAGGATTCTTAAAAAGTTCACAAATGCCCACATCCTACCCCAGTTTTACCGAAGTAGATCATTTCACTTTGGCGATCAGATACGTTTATTTTTAAAAGCTCCAAGATGTGTTTAGGGCACATTATTAACTAAAAGTTATAAATTTAACAAACACAATCTTTACCATCTTCCACCTATGTTTTATTCATCGCATCGCTCTCCCTCATCAAACGAGCCCAGAGGGAACAGGCAGTGGCTCGGCAGCCACTCCCTCTTTTTCCATCCCTCTGCCCATCACGATAACCGGCATGGAGACTTTCAGTAAGTTTAGGGAGATTAACCGAAACAATGGGAAGGAGATTCTTCATTCCTAGCACAGAGTCTCTAATGCTCTATCTCACCCAGGACGCCGGACCATTATTCGAGGTGCGGTACTTGGAGCGCAATGACCATCTTGTTCCCTCCCGCCCAGCGAGGGGTACAGCATTCCGGGCAGACACCCGATTCCCTTTTTCAGCTTCCCACTTGGGCCTCACCAGCCGCGCTGCCCACCGCCTCGATTCCAGTCTCGCCATCAGACTCGGGCTCTGAATCTTCCGCGTAAACTGCCAGAGATGACAGAACATTCCTCTTCCCCGCCATCTTATTCCCACATCCCCGGCGCGGCTCACGCCTATGAGTCGAAGACGGCGACTTCCGGCCGGAAAGGCAATTTCTTTCGGATCCCAGGAGATCCCGCGCCAGACTGAAAACCAATCAAAACGGCAGTTTCCTGCGCTTGGCTCCGCCCTCATGGTAACGCTCGCGGTACATCATCACTGCGCGACGGATGTAAGATTGTGGGGGTTCTAGCAAGCTGAGTTCCCAGCGTTTTGGCTTCTCAGAGTTGGGGTTATGTATAGAGGTCTTCGAATAGTTCCGGAACCAGCCGGCAGCAGCGGCCCAGTAGGGGCCTTTTATTCCTGGGCGGACCACGACCGGCCCTAATTATCTTCGGGTGAAGAGAGGGAGGCGTCGGCCGGCCAAAAGAGAAAATTGCGGATCTTGGGCTCAGGAATAAGGGAGAAGGGGGTCGGGGTCCCGGGGTGGAAGAGCGGACGTCGTGGTGGCGCCTAGAGAAGAAGAAGCAGGTGGATCTTAGAAAAACAGTTCCCCGTTCTCCAAACTGTTCTGAAGACATTTGTGTTTCTTCTGTTGATCTTATTTCTAGATCTGTGCTATACCGTGGCTTGAGTGTTCAATGCTTTTATATTAGTTGAGCGTAAAAGTGGAGATGTTAATTACCCAGGAATGTATTGCTTGAGTCAATTCATCTTCAACTTTATTACTTAAAAATAACATTTAAGTGTAATACAGGAAGTTTTTACTCAGAAAAAGCTGTATTTTTAAAGCAAAACAGAGGGTTCTCGTGGCAACCTTTTACCACCTTTGCCTTAATCTTTGGCCACTGTTGTTGGCTAAGATGAGCACCCACCATACCTCCTTTCCTTTTGACCCTGAGCGGCGAGTCCGGAGTACGTTGAAGAAGGTCTTTGGGTTTGACTCTTTTAAGACGCCTTTACAGGAGAGTGCGACCATGGCTGTAGTAAAAGGTAACATTACCAAGCTACCTTCCTTTAAATTCATGCTGGCTATACCATAACACTACGGCAGAACACCCTCCTCCTGACCCTTCGTATCGTCTCACCTTTGGTCCATAATTGGATTTGGAAATCTATTAGAGTTGTCATCCAAAGCTTGTAGTTTTGTTTATTTGTTTTAATTACAGATGGGGTCTCGCCGTGTTGCCCAGACTGGTCTCCAAATTCTGGGCTCAGGCAGTCCTCCCACCTCGGCCTCCCGATGTGCTGGGATTACGGGCATGAACCATCACGCCTGGCCCAAAGTTTGTAGTTTTAATGGCAGAACCACCCAGCTGTTCTGTATTTCATAGCCAGATCTACACATGGTCTTTGAAAAACAGTTTAGATTCCCATTATTGTTTGTCCGTACACACAAACGAACAGCAGCAGTGAGGGTGGCAGGAATAACTTAGTCACTGGCCTTGTAGAGAATTCCCTTGTGGAAAATTGAGTGGCCTGGGTCCCAGATAAAGAAAGAGTTATAAACCTGAGATTTGGTGACAAATGAAAGTTGCCAAGAGGCGAGCAGCAATGTAATATTAATGATACATGTTTAAACAAAAGCCCTCTAAGGAATGGCCTTCTGTGTCTACACAGGTGTGCCCACTCATCTAGCAGTACTCTGCTTCCATGGCTGTTTAGTTCAATAATTTATATCGCAGCAGACTCGGACTTCTTAAATCTTGTTTTTATTATCATTACTAGAAATGGTTTGTGTACTTACCCAAATTCCCCAGGATCTCTGCCTATTTTTATAGAAAGGACAGGAGGGGAATTAGCATTATAATGAGACCCTCCTATGTGGCAGACACTCTGCTAGGTGCTTTTCCTATATTCTCATTTAATTTTCAACAATCTCAATGAAAAGGCAGGAAGCACTGAGATATTGTTGTCTTGTATTTTTGCAGGTAACAAGGACGTCTTTGTATGCATGCCCACAGGGGCAGGAAAATCCCTGTGCTATCAGCTACCTGCACTGTTGGCCAAGGGCATCACCATTGTAGTCTCTCCTCTCATTGCGTTGATTCAGGTGAGGCTTGGGGCTATAAAGATGGTAGCCCAAAAAGATTCAGGGAAGGTGTTTTGAGGCTGGAAATTTCACTTCTCTGTTGGTCTTTTGCCTCTTCTTTTCTTTTTTTTTGTTTGAGTCTCACTCTGCCGCCCAGGCTGAAGTGCAGTGGCGCAATCTCAGTTCACTTTGCCTCCTGGGTTCAAGCAATTGTTGTGCCTCAGCCCCCCAAGTAGCTGGGATTACAGGCATATGCCACTATGCCTGGCTAATTTTTGTATTTTTAGTAGAGATGAGGTTTCACCATGTTGGCCAGGTTGGTCTCAGACTCCTAACTTCAAGTCATCTGCCTGCCTCGGCCTCCCGAAGTGCTGGGATTACCGGCATAAGCTACCACACCCGGCCCTGCCTCTTACTTTTTATGATTTGCCTATCTCATTCTCTATATTGGGTTTCTGTGTTTCCCCAGTGTAGCGTTCTCCACTGGTGCATATCACTCTAGGGGGTTACGAATGACTCCTCTGAGGTCCCTCACCCTTCTTTATTATTTTTTTTGTCCAGAGGAGTATGAAACTGTATTTGTACACACATATACACTCAGTCTCATGTGTACACACACGTGCACTCATGATGCTGGGTAGAAGTTGCAGATGGATAGATAATTAGGTTGACATGGAGAAATCCAGTGTCCTGCTTATTTTGGTAAGGGCACAGTATGAAACAGAAAAAAAGATGAGAAACTGGCTAGAGCCTTGTTAAAAGCCGCTCTACAGGTGTTCTGACTATTTAAGGCCTGCAGATGGGCTGGTAGAATCGGAATTGAGGAAGTGTGGCTGTGTGGGTAAGAGCCATCCACCATGGAGAAAGGTAGAGAGGAAAAAACAGTAATAGCTTGGTGGATGTTCACCAGGTCCTAGGCTTTGTGCTTTGTGCGTTACATACATTAATTTCATCTCTGAGATGTAAATTTTAATTTAGACAACAATTCTATTAGATAGAATTGTATATATTGTTCAGAGGGTAAGAAACAGTGACTGGGCATGTGGCAATTAAGTGAGCTAGGATTAAATCTAGGTCTGTTTGACCTCAGAGCCTGTCCTCTAAACCACTTCACCTTCCATACAGGCTGAGCATCCCTAATGCCAAAATCTGAAACCTGAAATGCTCCGAAATCCAGAAAATTTTGTTGCTGATATGACACCGCAAGTGGAAAATTCCATACCTTTCTGACTTCATGTGATGGGTTGCAGTCAAAACTCTTTTTTCATGCCCAAAATCATGAAAAATATTATATAAAATTACATCTAGGTTATATGTATAAGGTATATATGAGAGAAAAAATGAATTTCGTTTAGACATGGGTCTCATCCTCAAGATATCTCATTATGTATGTGCAATCTGCAAATATTCCCAAATCCAGAAATATCTGAAACTTAGTACACTTTTGGTTCCAAGCATTTGGGTTAAGGAATATTTAACCTATACTACTACTATGCAAAGAGAAGGCATATTGGAGAATGGGGGGAGGACAATTTATGACTAGGAAATCCTCTAGGGACTTGAAGTGATGTTTACCTGAGTCCTGAAGGCCAATTATAGCCCCTTTCTCTTCTCTTAGGACCAAGTGGACCACTTGCTAGCCCTAAAGGTACGAGTAAGTTCCCTGAACTCGAAGCTGTCTGCACAGGAAAGGAAGGAGCTGCTTGCTGACCTGGAGCAAGAAAAGCCCCAGACCAAGATTCTGTATATCACCCCGGAAATGGCGGCTTCATCCTCCTTCCAGCCCACCCTGAACTCCCTGGTGTCCCGCCACCTGCTGTCTTACTTGGTGGTGGATGAAGCTCATTGTGTTTCCCAATGGGGGCATGACTTTCGTCCTGACTACTTGCGTCTGGGTGCCCTGCGCTCCCGCCTAGGACGTGCCCCATGTGTGGCTCTGACTGCCACAGCCACCCCACAGGTCCAAGAGGACGTGTTTGCTGCCCTGCACCTGAAGCAACCAGTTGCCATCTTCAAGACTCCCTGCTTCCGGGCCAATCTCTTCTATGATGTGCAATTCAAGGAACTGATTTCTGATCCCTATGGGAACCTGAAGGACTTCTGCCTTAAGGCGCTTGGACAGAAGGCTGATAAAGGGGTGAGGTGCTGAGGGCCAAGCAGCTGCTAGAGCAGTGGGGTGCAATATGGAGATGGAGATGGGTCTTCTAAGACCTTTGCATTTTCTAGCTTCCTCAGCCAGGCTTCTTAAAACTGGTGCACAAAGATAGTTGTCCCTTTGGTTTCCTGGCATTGTCCTTCTTACTGGGGTTCCCTTGTCCTGGATCTTCCTATGGAAAGCAAGCAGCCAGCCCCTCTGTGTGAGGCCTCTGCAGACCCATGCAGAATTTGAGAGGAGGAGCCAGAGAAGTTAAATACGTTGAGTTTTGAGCAACTTTGGGCCTGCTTTTTAAATTTTTAAATTGAAACATTCATAGGTAATAAGGATTAACTGTAATCTGTTGCCCAGGTTGGAATGCAGTGGTGTGATCATAGCTTACTGCAGCCTCTAACTCCTGGCCACAAGTGGTCTTCCCGCTTCTGCCTCCTAAGTAGCTGGGACCACAGGAGTGTACCACCATGGCCAGCTAATTAAAAAATATTTTTTTGTAGACGTGGGATCTTTCTATGTTGCCCAGGCTGGTCTCTAACTCCTAGCCTCAAGTGATCCCCACACCTCGCCCTCCTAAATTACTGGGATTGCAGGTATGAGCCATTGCAGCCAGTCTGGTCCTGCTTTATATAAAGTGGCAGAGCCTTGCTGGGTGTTCTGCCTCAGAGGGGACTGTGAAGCTGACGAGGGAAGGAACACATAGCTTCTTTTAGAGCAGGGTACACTACCATTGGGCTGATTGTTCTGTTCTTGCCATGCTTATTTTCTTCCTGCATCTCCCCATTCAGTTGTCTGGCTGCGGCATTGTCTACTGCAGGACTAGAGAGGCTTGTGAACAGCTGGCCATAGAGCTCAGCTGCAGGGGTGTGAACGCCAAGGCTTACCATGCAGGTAAGGGGCGCCCAAGGCCACGTGGGTCTCTTCACCCTCAGAGGCTTCTCAGCAGGTCTCTTGTTCTTTACAGATCCTGATTATCAGGTGACCCACCGTCTTATCGCAGATACTCAGGCAGAGCTAAAGTGATTCACTTAAAGCCCCCAAAAGGAGTCTAGACATGAATGAAGTCTAAAATGAGAATTGTGACTCCTGAGTTCTTACTGTGTGCCTACCCA